TTCGTTCAGGTGTTAGTGAACTTATAGAAGAAACCTCGAACAAATCAGGCTCAAGTCATAAAACTGCGAAGGATAGTGGATTGATAGAGTTTAGTGTTTTTTTTTACTCTGAACTAATATATACAGGTAGAGGGTGAGTGCAAAAACGTGGTATATCGCCTCATAAGGTAGCAAACTTCTAAATAATTGAAGTGCTTCTTAGATCTAGAAAATCTAATATTTGTTAAACTAAGTTTGAGTTTTAGCGAAATATGTTCAACACAGTGTACTGGAAGAATATTAAGATCAAATGCCTGCGCTGTCGTTTTATCTTTGAATCAATATAACATCCAGAATTTGAGTAAACAGAGAATTTGTACAAGCTTCTCACACTTTGGTTGATGACTGTGTACACTTTTCATTCAAAATAATTTAAAAAGTAAAATTTTGGCGCTTGTGTAACATGTACATTTGAGACGATAAAATTTCGTCGACTAGTCGATTATTTGAGGGTTTTGCAGATCGATCGATAGAATCATGTACTTCTATTGAAATATTTGAATATGTTCCAAAGATCGATCTCAAAAAACCACATAGACTACTTTTAAAAAATCTAGGCTACCTCTTGCTGGGGGCGGTCGAGTGGCGCGATTTTGCTCGACTGTCACCCTATACACATGCTCAAAAAAAGGCGATTTGCATACGAAGCTTTTGAAGACGACAAAAAGGGAGTTCTACTCGTACAGCTAAACGATAGAGTATGGATTTATTTTGAAGCCACAGGCAAAAACCTCTAAACCCAGTTCTCTATAATTTTCTGTAATAGATTTATTCTTCAGATGTTTCTGTCCCATTGTGACTCCAAAACAAAGTAGGCAGCTTTACATTTTTTATTGCTAGTTAGAACACAATTAAAACATAAAAACCATGTCATATAGAGCCCAATGCAGGTGTGCCGTTAGGGACAACCCAAAATCGCGGCATTCGACATAAACCCCATCCTGCTGTGCTCAATGCTTTAAACTATAATGAAGAATACAAAGCAGAGTCAAGATGAATATGTAACAAAACAAGCAGAAATGGCTTACACTTTTAAGTAATTTGGAAAATGTAATAAAAACGGTCTTTCTCTGAAATCAAGGATCAATTTGATCAGATCTACAACGCAAACAATTTGTGTATTACTTATTACGAAATTCTTCTATTTTCTCCTTATTCTTATGATTTTTTCCTTCT